GAGAAAAGAATTCTGAAGGAAAGAATAGATTCTGTTAGTCAGTAAAAATAATTTAATAATGTAATTATATACATCATACACAGTTGCACTGCCCTCATTTAAAAAAAAACCTATAAAGATAAGGTCTCTTTGACTCTTCCCTCCCTCCTTACTCTTATCAATTTGATATTTATCTTTCCAGACCATTTTTTTTTACATGTTTCAGTCCATATACGTACCTGCAGAAAACACAGTTCTTTTGTTTTGTTTTGTTATTTTCGTGTTTTAGGTAAAAGCGACTTGGAATGCATTCTTCTGCCTTGTGGTTTTTCATTCGACCATGTGTCCAAGAGAGCTGTGTATGTGAGTTCTAGACCAACCTCATTTTCCTCACCCTCATCCTTTTAAACTGTTGCAAAGGATTTAATAAATGGCTGCTTTGTAATTTAAGAAGCCATTTTCCTATGGATGGATATTTACATTGTTTCTAATTACTGGCTTTTACATACTATCATGCCTTAAACATACGTGGGTATAACTCCAGGTCCATGGTGCAAGATTTGTTTTAAAATGGGTAATGAGATGTGGTCTCTCTGGGTCATCGGGCATTTAAAACGCTACCAGGGACTGCCCCATTGCCCTCCAAAGTGGCCAGACTAGTTTACCTCCAAAGTACAGTGTGTGAGTTCTCATACCCTTCATGGTATGTTCTGACAAGTCCTAAAGTTGCATTTCTTCACCAAAATTCTGCTAATCACACTTTTAAAAAAAACTAATTTGCAAGTAGTCCCCCCTTATCGATGTCTTGCTTTCCACAATTTCAGTTACCTGCGATCAAGCCCAGTCCAGAAGCAGATGATCCTCCTGATGATGTTAATGGATTGTCAGGAGGTCAATAGTAGCCTAAGGCTACGTCATATGCCTGGTCATTCACCTTCACCTCACTACATCTCATCACATGGTTATCTTATCTCACGTCATCACAAGAAGAAGGGTGAGTGCAAGATATTTTGAGAGAGAAAAAGGAACCACATTCACATAACTTTTTTTAAAAAAAGATTTTATTTATTTGAGAGAGAGAGAGCACAAGTGGGGCGGAGGGGAGAGGCAGAGGGAGAAGGAGAGGTAGACTCCCCGCTGAGGAGGGAGCCCGATGCCGGGCTCCATCCCAGGACCCTGAGATCATGACCTGAGCTGAAGGCAGACGCTTAACTGGTTGAGCCACCCAGGCGCCCCTCACTTAACTTTTATTACAGTTTGTTATAATTTGTTATATATACAATTTGTTATAATTGTTCTATTGCATTATATGTTATTATTGCTAATCTGTTTCTGTGCCTAATTTACAAATTAAACTTTATCATACGTTTGTGTGTATAGGGACAAACATAGTATATATAGGGTTCGGTACTATCTGTGGTTTCAGGCACTTGCTGGGAGTCTTAGAATGTGTCCCCTGCAGAGAAGGGGGGATTCCTGTACTACGTGCCACCCAGTGAGGTTTCATGAATCTTTGAATTAACTCTGATGAAGCTGGTAGAGCATCCATTTAGCGCACAAGTCCTCCTTCCCTCTGGCCTTTCAATATCACATATAAGCAGTATTCCTTTGCACTTAAAGGGAGACATTGTGTAACACTGGTCTCTGCTCAGTGAAGAGCAACTAGCTCCTTCAACATTCTAGGCATGGGCCGAAAGGCCATGGGCCTCTGGACAAAAAGAACTTTATGAGAAGGGCAAGTGTTTGCATTTCTGTCACCATTTCCACATGTTCTGCATTCGATATGTTTCGTGAAGACAAGCCTTCCTCTTCTGGTTTCTGAAGTTTGCAACGTCAGGCTTTGCCTTGCTCCCACGAGCTCCCACAGAGGAACGATTTGAGCAACTTTGTTAAGCTGGTGAGCCTGGGGCTTTATGTTTCTATTAATGTTTACAACTCTCCCTCCCGTTCCTACGTTAGCATGGCCATTTGACAGAATAGCAAACTGAGGTTCAGAAGTTAAATCACTCACCTAAGGGGAACCCAGGATGGAGATCTTTAACACAGAAAAATATAAATAGAAAATCAGACAACAGTGATATATGACAACAGGGGTTGTAGAAAGACTGTATTAGCGGGGCGCCTGTGTGGCTCAGTCGTTAAGCGTCTGCCTTCGGCTCAGGTCATGATCCCAGGGTCCTGGGATCAAGCCCCGCATCGGGCTCCCTGCTCCGCGGGAAGCCGGCTTCCCCCTCTCCCACTCCCCCTGCTTGTGTTCCCTCTCTCGCTTTGTCTCTCTCTGTCAAATAAATAAAATCTTAAAAAAAAAAAAAAAAAAGACCGTATTAGCAACAAATGTGGGACAAAGAGAGTTAATAATGAAATAAATTCATGTGTTATGTAGAGTTTTGTGCAGTTTATGAAAAGTTATGTGCGTAGTATGATATAGTGGTTAAGAGCATATAGTCCTAGGACACTTGGCTGGCCCCAGTCAGTAGAGTGCGGGACTCTTGATCCTGGAGTTGTGAGTTCAAGCCCCATGGTAGGTGTGAGGCCTACTTAAAAAAAAAAAAAAAAAAAAGGAAAAAAAAAAGCATATAGTCTGGCGTTAAATGGCCTGGCTTAAAATCCTGGCTCTGTCACTTTGTGACTTTGGGCAAGTTACTTAACCTCTCTGTGCCTCAGACAGTACATATTTCATTGGGTTGTTGTAATGATTAAACAAGATAGTATTTGTAAAGCAATGAGAACAGCGCCGGGCATACAGTAACACCACAGAAGTTTGACATTACCGTCATTACTGTTGCACTTGGTTTTTGCTGTTATTACTGCTATTTTACAGATGAGCAAAAGGAACTTGGGAGGTGGGTCTCTGCCATCCTGTCCAGGGGGTTTGCACTCCCAGCACTGCCCATCCCCCCTTACTAAACACAGCAGAGGGGTCATATAAGACCTTGGAATATCTATGCAAGAAAAGGCGGGTCCGGGCACAATTCACACTCTTTCTTCCTGAGAACAAAAGAAGGATCTGTAGTGGAAGAATTTCAGGAACTTCAGTGAAGCATGTGAAACATTCCAAGACAAGTCAATCCAGTTCCCTTCTATGTGCTTTTACTAGCATGTGAATCTATCTTTCCAATTGTCCTCACTTCCCCTCCATCCTAGATCCAGCGTCATGTTCTAGACCCAGAATTGGATCACTGTCATCTGTCTCTGGAGCCTCCTATGTGACATCTGCCCTCTGGCCCATTCTCCTCACCAAAGCCGAAGACATATTTCTCGACATACACCGATCATGTCTGTCTCCAAGATGGCCCCCTACGGCTCTAAGGACTTGGGCTGAGCCCCTTCATCGCCCTATGAGACTGGGCTGGAGCTGGGCTTTCCTTCCACTTCCTGCCCAACCCCCCGTACTTCTGTCAGATGGCACTTCCTTCATTTCTCAAAACTGAGCACACAGTCCCCTCCCTCTGAACTCTTTCAGTCTGTCCAAGTCCTGCTCACGCTTCCAGCTTCAGCCTGGCACTCAGCTCTTCCAAGAAGCCTTTTTGCATCTTTCACTCCACCCCCCCCCCCCATGGCACCTATACCTCCTCCTTGATAGCATTTCTCATGCAGTATTATAATTGCTGTGTCCTTGTCTATACGTCCACTGGAAACTGGGCTTCCTGAGGCAATCCCCCTGTCCCTTTGGTTGGGGGTTACGCCGGGCACCTGGCACAGGGCCTGAGATGAGAGTTACTGATCGAAGATAAATACGGATGCTGGTTGAAATTGAGCATGCAGATGCTGCTTTTGGCCATGACCCAAGAGGAACTTGTAGGTAGAGTAAGAAGATAATTATTATGGGCAGAAACATTAGGAACATTCCCAGGGATGGCGAGATTGGTTTAGAGGGCCATGAAGAGAAGGCAGTAGCATGACTATGGGAAGGGAAGGAGTTAAGAAGAGGGGCTGAGATGAGGGAGGAGAGGGTGTTAAGGTAACTGAACGAGGAGGCTATTAGACCAAGGTGGCTGTAATGCCTTGTAACTATATAAGCGAACCAAAACCTAAGCCAGAGTCAATGCACTCAAATCCCAGAAAATGAAACTTAAGAACCAAGCACAAATAGGTTTTCCCAAGTGAGTCAATGGCTCACGCTACAGCCAATCAAATAATTTCCTTGCTTAGTTTCCTGTCTTCTCTATAAAATCCTCCCCCCCAGCTCGTTAGAGGAGTGCCCCCCAACCACCTTTGGTTTGGCACTGCTCCATTCTAACGATGTATACTCAAAATAAACCCTCGAAAATGTTGATGTGCCTCAGTTTGCCTTTTAACAAAGGGATTATTGCAGGAGACAGGGGGTTACAGAGGGGGTTAAGTTCCAGGATATGTGGGTGTGAATTAGAGTGATTAACGATCCTGGTTTACCCAGGACTGTCTGGGTTTTAAAACTGCAAGCCCTGCGTCCCAGGGAACCCTTAATTCAAGGCAAACCTAGGTGGGTCACCCTGGATTGGAATCCAGATTCCCGGAGTTCCCAGACGTTTTGGACAAGGGCAACCTCTCCCTTGAGTTGTGAAGACGGCAGAGAGGAGAAGGATTAAATAAACAAAGCGAATGCGCTTTGGAACCAGGGCAAAGCTCTGCTTCTTTGCGGTGTGATCTCGAATTCCTTAACCTCTCAGATCCAGTTTTCCGTAATACGGGGATAATTAAACACGACTGAGCCATGTAAACGGGCCTACCCCAACCGCAGGCTCATAAGTAGAGTCGAAAGTTTTTGTTTTCCTTTCTTTCCCTACTCTTGCCGCTGCTCTGGTCTCCCACTTTCCAATCCTCCTCCGTTTCTCTCCTCGACCTTCCCGTGCCTCGTTCTTGGCGGCCACCCGCTCCTCACTGAGAGCACCACCCACCGCCGGGGGGAAGAGCAGAGCCAACAAAGGTGGGTGCCCCTCTGGCTCCCCCAGGCGAGCTCTCTATGGTGCCTGCCGCCGGAGCCGCGAGGAGGGGGCGGGGCCCGTCACGTGACCCGGGAGCCCGGCGCCCGCGCAGGCGCGTCGCCGCCGCCGGGCTCCGTCGCCCGCGCCGCTTCGCCCTCTTGGCGCCTGAGACGGCCGCAGGGGGTTCCTGCGGCTTTCGCTCTTGCAGTTGCGGGCCGCGCATCGCGGCCATGTCCCGAAAGCAGGCGGCCAAGGGCCGGCCGGGAAGCGGCAGCCGGAAAGCGGAGGCCGAGCGCAAGCGCGACGAGCGGGCGGCGCGCCGGGCCCTGGCCAAGGAGCGGCGGAACCGGCCAGAGTCCGGTGGCGGCTGCGAGGAGGAGTTCGTCAGCTTCGCCAACCAGCTGCAGGCCCTGGGGCTGAAGCTGCGGGAGGTGCCAGGGGACGGGTGAGGCGGGCCCGGGAGCGCGGGAGGCGGCGCCGGGGGACGCGCGGGGCATGGCGAGCGTCGCCCGCTCTCATCCCCTCATTCATTCAGGCGGCGCCGAGCGCCACCGCTTTCCAGTGCTGGGGGTGGGTTGGGGGGGTCCTTCCCCTCGCGGCGCTCGAGTGATCCCAAATTGTCCTAGCGGTGGCAGAGGCCGCGAGGAAACTGTGAAGGGGTCCTAAGAGACAGCACTGAAGCAGGTCTCCTTTAGATCGGTGCCCAGGAAGGCTTCTCTGAAAGGTGACATTTAAGCTGAGACCTGGAGGAATGAGATGGAGCCGGTCCCTCGAAGAGCAGGACAGCACGTAGGGCAGTCAGAATGACGCTGAGACAAGGAGAAAGCGGCGAAGCCCCACTCAGTGTAACACTCGGTCCTTTTCTAGTTCTTACTGTTGGGGGTTGCCCTCCTTTTACACTTGGGCAATTAGGTCTTTGAGGGCCTGTTGTTTACTGAACTGAAGGTAACTTCTCTAGTTCTGACTTCTGTGGGCCTCCGTTTCTCCTCTGATGCTTATCCGAGCTTGCTTGGGGCTTAGACTGGAATCCAGGGCAAGCTTTTTTAGGGAACACGAGCTAAATAAGTGGGGTGGGAGGGAGAAAATGGGGAAAGGGAAGCGGATATGGACCCAGAAGCATGAATGACAGAAGCATAAAGAGGAGAGGGAAGGAGAACATTTAGCATCCTCACTGCAGGGGTAGGTCAGGGGGAGTCTGGTTGCCAGGATGCCACTCTGGAAGAGACAGTATTAATAACAGCCTGGCTGCTGTTGTTCTTCCCTTCATTTGAGGGCTCAGAAAGGGTAGAGGGAGGAATAAAATGAAGTTAAAGACCATATAGAATTGCCTTACTCACTAAGCATGGAAAAGAGGGAAGAAAGTGTTTTTTTTGGGGTTTCACATTACATTGTAGCTTATTGATCGAGACTGTTTATGAACTGGCACTAATTTATCTTTCCCATCTTTCCTATGTATGCTCACTGCTTAGACACTTGGCTTTACAGTTTTACTCACCATCACCTAGCATAGTGCCTAGTACATAGAGGGCATTCAGTGCATTTTTGTTCTATGAATGAATGATAAAAATATCATGGAGGCCAAGTACAGCCTCAGCAGAGCCTCTCAAAGGGACATTTTCTTAGTGGAGTCACTACCATTAAAGACTTGCTTTGCTGTGTCTTGCTTTTAGCCTAGTACTTTGATTTCGTCAACTGTAGTTTATTAACTATTCTGGGCCTTACTTATCCTAATCAAACTTACAAGCACAAGATATTGCTACATAAACTAGAATACTTTACAGTTGAATATTTTACACTGGGATTGAGGTGGGGCTGTTCCTTGCAAATGATTGAATTGCTGTGTCTGTTATAAATAAATAAATAAAATACCACTGACATGGTATTCTCCGTGTCACGGTGTCCAGGAAACTGAAGTACTCAACAGAAGGTTGCTTCTGAGCAGGAATTGTAGCACAGGGAACTGTAAAATCTTGAGGGAGCTTTCATAATGCTATGGGAAACTTTGGGGGTACTACCTCTACTCCGATCTGCCCCCAAGAGAACATACTTAGTTAATTCAGCAAACATTGATTGAGCAAGAGCTGGGAATCCATTGATGACTAAGATACTTAAGGAGTTCACAGTCTAGTAAGAGATAAATGAATAAGGGAGCTTAAACATTTTGACCTAGGGACTCCTTTACACTCCTAAAAATTACTGAGAACTCCAAAGAGCTTTTGTTTATGTGGGTTATAGCTATCAATATTTACTGTATTTGAAAGTAAAACAAAAATTAGAAACACAAGAATACACAAACACACATTCCATTAACTGTCAGAGTGATAACCTTATGTATCAGGTAGGCTCTGGAAATCACTGTATGCTTGTGAGAGAGTAAGAGTGCAAAAGATAAGTAACATCTTAGTTTTGAACTCAGGAATACCCTGAGAGGGTCTCAGAGCTACCTTCCCCTTCCCCCAAATTGGGCCCTACTTTGAGAATGGATGATGTAAATAATTAAAGTACAGTTTGGTGTATATATATATATTTTAAAGATTTTATTTATTTATTCATGAGAGACAGAGAGACAGAGGCAGAGGGAGAAGCAGGGAGCCCGATGCGGGACTCGATCCCAGGACTCCAGGATCATGACCTGAGCCGAAGGCAGTCGCTTAACCAACTGAGCCACTCAGGCGCCCTGTGTTTGATATATTTTTAACAGTGACTGATTATAGTACTATTGAGAAGGCAGTGGCCAGCACTCCTGGAGCGATCACGGAGGCCTTCTCATTCACTCAGCCAATGTTCAGTGAACTTACACTGTACCAGATGCCTCTCAGAGGAGGTCGTACTCAGACTGGGTCATGAAGGGCCAATAGGAATATGTCAAGAGAACATTCTATGCTGAGGAGTAATATAATGTAAAGGCACAGGAGCGCATTATTTTTGAGAGAGATATGAGTTGTTTCGGATGCAGGAGTATCAGGGTACAAGGGTAGAACACAGGCAGAGAGGCTGCAGGGCCAGAGGCCAGCTTGACTGGAATGTTTATGTCTCTCCCTTCCCAGGTCCCTATTCTTGATTCTTGAGACAATGTTAGATAAAATGTTAATGATAATTCCTTCTGTGTGGGTTCCATGAAGCTCACTCCGTTTTGTTCACACATTCTTCCCCTGGGGACCGTGAGATGGGCTGTGGCTCAGCCCTCTAGTATTGTGGCGCTTTTGGATATGATGTGCAGTAGATGGTGTTCCCTGTGTATGTGATGGCTTAGTAGGTATCAACAGATTCTTTATTAATATTTATTGAGTATTCTTGGTGAAATATAAAAAAGTTATGGTAATATTGAAAAGTTGACAGCCTCCACTCTTCTGTCTTTCCATTCTGGTCTGATTACAATATTGAGTAGCCTGACATAGCATCTCGCTGTTGAGGCATACTCATTGTAGGCGGTATGGTACTTGTAGCATCCTGGAACCTCTGGGCGCCTGGGGATAAATTAGCTAGTATCCTCTAATGTAGCCTTTATGTGAGTTGAGTCAATTTAGCATAGATTAATCACGGAGATACTTATGGGGTTTTGTCATGCATCATGGGCCGCCTTGTATTTGTCATGTTGTCTGGAGGGTGGACCCACATAAATTAGATTCAGTTTCAAAACAAGAAAGAAATATTTTAACCTTGGTATTGTCCTTAAAAACTTGATTGGCGGGGCGCCTGGGTGGCTCAGTTGGTTAAGCGACTGCCTTCGGCTTAGGTCATGATCCTGGAGTCCCGGGATCGAGTCCCGCATGGGGCTCCCTGCTGAGCAGGGAGTCTGCTTCTCCCTCTGACCCTCCCCCTCTCATGCTCTCTCTCTCTCTATCTCATTCTCTCTCTCAAATAAATAAATAAAATCTTTAAAAAAAAAAACAACTTGATTGGCTATAGTGTGAAAAGAATCTCTAATTGGATTAGGCAGTACAATATTAGCATTTGTCTGAACTGTATCTAGTTGCATCTTACTAAATGTTGCCCTCAATTGCCTACAATTAATTGTAGTGTTCTACAGTTAAAACATTAAAGAATCACTAATTTTAACCATTTATCTCTGTGCTAAACAAGTTAATTTGTTTTTTATTTTTTTATTTTGAGATTTTATTTATTTATTTGAGAGAGAATGAGATAGAGCATGAGAGGGGGGAGGGTCTGAGGGAGAAGCAGACCCCCTGCTGAGCAGGGAGCCCGATGTGGGACTCGATCCCAGGACTCCAGGATCATGACCTGAGCCGAAGGCAGTCGCTTAACCAACTGAGCCACCCAGGCGCTTTAATTTGTTTTTTAATATTTATTTTGCTTTTAGAATCCTAGGATTTTAGTGATGGAAGGGTATTCACACATGACCTTTTGTAATTATCCATTAGTACCTGCATCCCGTGTACAGCAGCTCTGCATCTAGCTCAGTGGTTTTTAACTTTGCTGGCACACTTAGGGAACTTTGGAAGGCAGCTATGCTCACCACTATACCATCAACGCCGGCTTCTTAGAGAACTTTGGAAAAAATACAGTGTCTGGGCCTCTTCTAGATCAGCTATACCAGAATCTAAGCAGTGGGACCTGGTTACTGATAACCTTTAAAATGTCCACAGGTGATTCTCATGTGCAGCCATAATCACAAACCACTGAGTTAGAGTCTATATTCTAGGCTAGTGTTTCTCAAACTTTAGAATGCAACAGAACCACTTGGAGGACCTAGGTTGCTGGGCTTTAACCCCAGAATGTTTGACTCAGTAGGCCTGGGGTGAGGCCTGAGAATTTTCATTCCAAACAAGTTTTCAAGTTGTTAGGGATCCCACTTTGAGCATCAGTGATCTAGACCAGTGCTGGTCCAATAGAAATAAAACAGGAGCCAATATGTAATTAAAAATTTTTCCATTAGCCACATTAAAAAAGTAAAAAGAAACAGGTGAGACTAATTTAATATATATGTCACTATATGTTAAAATATTATCATTTTGACATATAATCAATGTAAACTTTTTTTTAAAGATTTTATTTATTTATTTGACAGAGAGAGACACAGCGAGAGAGGGAACACAAGCAGGGGGAAGTGGGAGAGAGAGAAGCAGGAGAGGGAGAAGCAGACTTCCCACTGAGCAGGGAGCCCGATGCGGGGCTCGATCCCAGGACGCTGGGATCATGACCTGAGCTGAAGGCAGACGCTTAACGACTGACCCACCCGGGCGCCCCTCAGTATAAACATTTTTAATGAGATATTTTACGTCTTTAAAATACTATTCAAAATCCAGTATCTTACCCTTCAACACGCCTCAGTTTCGATTAACTACATTTCATGTGCTCAGTAGTCACACGTGGTGGCTATTGGCTACCATTGTGTATAGCACATATGTAGACAATTACGGAGGATTGCCAGATAGAAATTTACAAGATCTTTAGTTTATAACCTATTTCCACAGAGCTGAAATTTCCTTTCATTTGCCTGAATCTGTGTCTCTAGAGCTCCCATGTTTTAGTTTTATGGTACAAATACAGCATCCCTTTCACCATAACACTTAGTTGGAGGTAGCTCTCATGTCCTGCTGAGCCCGCTTTAGGCTAAGCACTAGTTGTTCACGTTCTTCATATTATATAGTTTAAAGCCACTTCTCATCTGAACATGTCTCTCTTAAAATGTGGTGACCAGAATCATACCTAGTACTCTAGCTGTGGTCTGACCTCAAAGAGGACAAGACCTGTCCCTCCCCCACCCCCAACCCGCCCTTTCTGCATATTAACTATTATGATTGCAGCCTCGGGGGCCATTAGTTCTTTCAGTGGTTGTTACAGTATTGTCTCCTAAACTATTATCGAGCCCCCAGAACTCTAACACACTACTTACGTAATTGCTTATTTTTGTGAACTCAAATGCAAGACCTTACATATATCCTGATAGTGCAGTGGTTCTCATGTGGAGATGGTTTTGACGCCCCCAGGGAACATTTGGCGATGTCTGGAGATAGCTTTGGTTCCCAGCCGACAGGGAGGGAGGTGGTGGGGGTGCCACTGGCATCTAGTAGGTAGAGGCCGAGGATGCTCGTAAACATCCTACGGTATACTGGACAGCCCCACAACAGCGAATCATCCCCAAATGTCAATAGTATGGGTGTTGAGAAGGCTTGCTGTAGTGTACTGGGCGAGGGTGTGGGCTCAGGAAACAGTTGGGATCCCCTAGAGGGCCTTCGGGCACTGGTCGCATTGTTCTCGTGGGTATCATGAGTGTTCTCGCTGGGCTCCCTGAGGCTGCCCTCTACGCTAAGGGTGTAGTGTTCACTTTTCCTGGGTCACTCTCTTGTTACTCTGTCGGAAAAGAAAGTGATTTATCTATCTTGATTTTTATTTTGCCTACTTATTTTTAGTAAGCTCAAGGAGAGTTTGGTAAATATAGACAAATGTATTAAAATACATTTAACAGTTACTCCTAATTCCACTATCTAGGGATAACTACGGCTAACCTTTTGGTGTCTTGGTTTGACTTCTGGGCCCACCATTTACTGGTTTTGTGACCGTGGGTAAGTTACCCAAGGAGGATAGTAATAGTACCTGTCCCATAGAGTTGTGAGGACTAAACACATCTAATACATATAAAGTGGAACAGTCTATGGCACATCGTAAGAGCTATGTAAGTGATGGTTTCAGTGTTTGCATACATTTGTGTGTGTTTGGTGTCTGTATATATAGGGGGAGATGGACATGGTCAAGTTCACGCAGCATACATAGTTTTATCCCTGTTTTTTTGGCTTGTATGGAGAACATTTGCCGATGTTACTGAAAGTTCTTAGAAAGCATATTACTTTCTGTAGAATATCATGAATTTAATGTAAAATAACTAAATACATGATTTTGTGCTAAATCATACCTCTTTTTCTTTTTTTTTAAGATTTTATTTATTTTAGAGAGAGAGGGAGAGCGAGAGAGCGCGTGTGCCCACAAGCAGGGGTAGGGAGGAGGGACAAGCAGACTCTGTGCTAAGCACAGAGCCCAACGCGGGGATTGATCCCACGACCCTGACATCATGACCTCAGCTGACATCAAGAGTCGGGTGCCCAACTGACTGAGCCACCCAGGCGCCCCCAAATCACACCTCTTAAACTAGATTCAAGAGTAGACTGACTAGTGGTGGCAGGTACTAAGGGTTTAAAGAAGTTTAAGAGGAAAGCTTTAAATTGAGACCATCTTTTTTTTTTTTTTAAAGATTTTATTTATTTATTTATTTGAGAGAGAGAGAGAGAGAAACAGCATGAGAGGGGAGAGGGTCAGAGGGAGAAGCAGGCTCCCCGCTGAGCCGGGAGCCCGATGTGGGACTTGATCCCAGGACTCCGGGACCATGACCTGAGCCGAAGGCAGTCGCTTAACCAACTGAGCCACCCAGGCGCCCAAAATTGATACTATCTTATCCATTAGCTTATTTTTTTTTTTTCCTGTGGGTGAAAAAAGATGGCTATTATTATATTTTAGCAAAAGACACCTCAGTGTAGTATATAGAAATGCTATATTCCAATCGGTTCTAGAATCTTGCCCCAAATTGATGCATAGTTTCTTCGTTTCTGGTTTATAGAATCTGCATTCTTTAAATTCTGTCCTCCCCCTTTGCAAAAAAAAAAAAAAAAGTATACATCCTTATATGTTTGAAGAGATTTCTGCCTTCTCCATAACTTTCTGTTGAAAACTCACTTTTCTGAGTTGGAAACAAAAAACCTCTTTCTCCTGCAATTTTAGGTCTGAAGTTCTGGAAGTGATGAGTTTATATTTTGAGTTTACTTTTCATTTGGGAGAGCGAAAGCGGGGGATTAGCTCAAATGGTAGAGCGCTCGCTTGGCATTTGGGAGAGCGAACAGTTTGGTGTGAAACTGGGCAACTGTTGATCTTCAGAATGGCTTATTGCCTTAGTTTTAAGGATGCTAGATGGTGTTTTTCTTGTTTCAATTCCCATGTGTCTGGGCTCTGTGTTCGTGATACAGTTTGGAGTTGTAGAAGCCTTTGAGGAGTTTCCAAGGAAAGATAGCTCTTAAAGTTTATTACCAGCATTTTAATTTGAGAAACAAAAAATGGTGTTTAAAGTTTCCATTTGGCAGGAATAACAATGGCATTGCGGCTCCCTGGGTGGGAGGAGGGGAGCCAAGGAGGGAGAGGGTCATTGCATAGTACAGCTATGTGTTGTATACGGGCTTTCCTTCTCACAGTTTTCTCCACTACGTTTGTAGGACTCAAACAGGATGTAGAGTTCAATTGCTTGTATTAGGAGCCTGACAAATTGCTATCTTTTGGGTACTCTTTGTTAGATGAATGCTTAGTTAGCTGGCCCGCTGTAGCGGAAATGGTTTTAGAAAAGAGGCAGTAGATACGATTTATTACTTTGGAAGGGGGTCTGGAAATCATAGTCCTTAGGTGTGGAATGGCCTATAATGTCTGGACCCTGTCTTCAGGTGGTTACTGTATCACCACCTCCATATATCGAAGCAGCTGAGGCCTGGGGAGTTTATTGTCTTTCCTGAGTCAGCCAGCTGCTAAGTGGGGAATGAGATTCCAGTTTGTTGCCTCTCAAGAAGGTGATGTGGTTGAATGCCTGCCCTAGTGCTCTCCCCACAGTGTTTGGGAAGAATCCTGGACTGTCAGAGTTGAGGCTTTATCTCAACAGGAACGATTTCCATGGGTGACCTAGCATGAAGCATCATTGTTTCAGATGAACTAAGTTCATTTTTAAAAGGTCTTGACCAACATTTTTGTTTTGATAGCAATTGCCTGTTCAGAGCACTTGGTGATCAGTTGGAGGGACACTCACGAAATCATCTCAAGCACCGACAAGAGACAGTGGATTACATGATAAAGCAGCGGGAAGATTTTGAACCCTTTGTAGAAGATGACATTCCTTTTGAGAAACATGGTAGGTTCACCATGGAACACTGGATCCTCCAGGAGTAATGCATTGGGTAATTAAATCCATCAGTATTCCCTACTCTCTCAGTCAGGGGTTTGATTACATAAATTATGTCATTCATTCATTCAACAAATACTTGTCTGCTCTGTAATAGGCAGCAAGCTAGGCAGTTGGGAATCAATAGGTTTAGGTGTCTGTACCCTTAATAAAAATGATGATGTTAATTAACCTGAAAAGCTATTTATGACTTCTTATTCAGTGGGGGGTAAAAGCAGCCTATAAAAAATATATATAGACTGATCTTCGTTTTGAAAGGTATACACACACAGAAACATACTAGGAAAAGTGGGTAGGTACTAACATTTTATGGTTGGTAATTCTTGGCTCTGCTTATTTTTCAGAAACCACTTACTTTCAACAACTAGGAGATATAATAACACCAATATATAGGGTTTTTGGTAAAGATTAAATTAGATAATACAATTAAATAAGTTCTTAATAAATGTCAGCCATCTGGGGATGCTGGGACTATGACAATTTTAAATGATCTTCTGCATATTTTTCTGATTTTCAAAATGACCACGTATTGCTTTTATAATCAGAAAAAGCAGTAGTCATTTTAATTTCTCACCAGAAACCCGAACACAACCACTTTTCTTTGAGGCAAGTCAGTTAGTGATTTAAATTAGCTCAACTCTAATAAGAAAGTTCATATGAGCTTTTTTTCCCACGGAGCAGGGGGAGAGGGAGAAGCAGATTCCCTGCTGAGTGCAGAGCCTGACACAGGGCTTCATCCCAGGACCCCGAGATCATGACCTGAGCTGAAATCAGGAGTTGGACGCTTAACTGACTGAGCCACCCAGGAGCCCTAGTACATTTGAGCTTTTAAACTTTAAGGTTCGGGGCACCTGGATGGCTCAGTCGGTTAAGTATCTGCCTTCAGCTCAGGCCGTGATCTCAGGGTCATGAGATAGAGCCCTGCCCTGCATCGGGGAATCCCAGCTCAGCAGGGTGTCTGCTTCTCCCTCTGTCTCTTCCCCTGTTCGTGCTCGCTCTCTCCCTCTCAAGTAAATAAATAAAATCTAAAAATAAATAAATAAGTAAATAAAATAAACTTTTAAGGATCTACTAAACGAGGTGTTGATCTATTTGTATTTTACAACTAACATTTTCATCACAGGGCTCACATAATACCCTTATTAAGAAAGAGACAGAATCTTTCTGTGTTTTAGAGAACTAATTCTGGAAACCATGTCAAGAATGGATGCAGAGAGACTGAGGAGGAGGAGGAGTTAGAAGGCTCTCCACATTGGCCAGATGAAACAATAAGAGGGTCTCCACCAGCTACTGGGGGTAATGGGTAGAGTCCAGACCAAGACACAGTTTGGTATTATAATTGACAGGCCTCACTGGCGGTGGGGAGGAGGGGAGGAGGAGGAGACAAAGGTGATTCTGAAGGTTCTGGAGAATGGCTAGGTAGCTGTATCCTTATACTCTCCATCAAGATAGGGGGCAGCAGGAGGAAGACCTTTGGGAGGGAGACTATTCATGACCCCAAAGCCTTTCTCATTCCTCACTAGGAAAGGACTCATTCATTAGGCACCAGCAGCAAAGGGACATAGCAGCAAACCATCCCTCCCCCCATGAGTAGTTTACACCAGTCACTCAGTTCTGATGGTTCCTCTCCCTGTCTCACTTTTTGTCTAGCAGATACCAAGTTACCAGATGGTCAGCTGTTTACAAGTGTGGGTCTATGGGGCAAGGTTTGTAGTTTAGTGCTATATAAAATGAATTGTGTCATTTGTCCAATTAAAATATCATTTTGGATGAAGAGAGTTTTCGGTTTGTGACTGGAGATTCTGCTGTGAATAGCTGCAGTGGAGGTCACGTGGTCAATTTGGGGGTGTGGCAGGACAAGGGACTAAAGCCTGCAGTCGCTGGCGTGATGGTCCCTGTAGATGTACGACAGGAGGGTGTGTTTTTGAAATGCCACTGTGTTTGCCTGATGGTTGGTTGGTGATCCGTAAGAAATTGAGCATCAGAGGTGTGAGAGGTGGTGACTGCCATAGTGGAATGAAAGGAAACTGAGAAATCATTTGCAGGTCACTGGAAGACTAGACTTACTACATTTATCACTCTTCTAGTTAATGTGTTTTTAATGCCTGTCTGCCTTTTTACACCGTGAGATTCTTGAGGGCAAGGACTGGGGTTGTTCCCCAAGGTGGCACTGCCTGGCACGTGGTAGGCACTCGGAAGACATTTGTTAAGTGAATAAATAAATGGCGCACTTAACTCTTTAGGGCCTAGTTACCCTGGCATATGGCTGTGTTGTTTAGGATTGTTCCTTTCCTTTAGACTCTGGCTTCTCCAACTATACAGAGACCTGAATATGCTCAGTGCCTTCTCCCCCTCTCTCCTCATGCCCAGTCTTTTTTTTGTCTTGTCACTTCTACCTTAATGCTTTTTTCTTTCACTGCTCCTCCCTCATAAAATCAAGCCTTGGTGGCCATTTGCTTAGATTTCTTCGATACTCTTTGGACTGATTTCCATCGCCTCCTGACCCTTTGAGTTTGTCTTCCAGGTTGCAGCCAGAGTGGTGATTTAAATGCACATCTAAGACCTTTTTCCCCTATCTAAAACCTGTTGGCAGCTCCCCATGGACCTGAGGATAAAGTCTAAACTCTTCAGCTCTTGTTACTTCTCTACCCTCACCTCCCGCCGGCTCTCAGCAGTCCCAAGTTCCTGCCATACTGTACAGCGCACAAGCTCATCCTCTCTCTCTCGCCTCTGCTTGGAATGTCATCGTTCTTCTTCTGTCTGTCTCCTGCTCACCCTTTGGGAGTCAGTGCAGTTGTCTCCGCTGAGAAGCTTGTCTGATACACCTTACTTCCCCCTCCCACTACCAGACTCAGTTGTGGTCCCGATCTGGAGTCAGCCAAATGACAAGGTTTGGGGTCGCAGTCTTCCACAAGACTCTCTTCTGATACCAACTGCAGATTGGGGGTTTCCCAGAACCACTCTCAGTTTCGATAATTTGTTAGGACTTAGAACTCACTGAAGGTTGTTATACTCACAGTTATAATTTATTACAAGAAAAGGATATGGATCAAAATTAGCCAAGGGGTAGAGTCTGGGAAGGTTACACAATCACAGAATATTGTCAGCCAGGGAGCTCACAAACTTCCGTGTTTGGATTATTGGGGCTTTATTATGTAGATATTATTGATTGGTTGCCTAAGTGGTTACACTCAGTGTCCAGCTCCCAGTTCCCCAAGTCTTCTAACATCGCGTGGCCAGAGAGGCCCATCATGAGTCACCTCATTAGCATAAACTGTCCAGTGTGGCCAAGGGGCTCATCATCCTTTCACCTGGGAAATGTCAAGGGTTTAGAGGTTATTACCCAGGAGCCAGGGACCAAAGGCCAGACCTCTCTGGGTAAGGCCAAGTTCTTTATTGTACATCCCTTTCCTGAAGCACTTACACATCAGTAGTGCCTGTTTTCTTGTTGTTTGCCCCCCACTGGTTGTAGACTCCTTGAACTCAAACTGTGACCGGCTGCGTAATGGAGTGGCCAAGAGCCAGATCTTGGAGTCAGGCTGCCTGGGATGCAATGTCAGCTCTGCCGTGTACCAGCTCTGTGGCCTTGGGCACAGTTACAAATTACTCTGTGCCTTGGGCTCCTTATCTGTAAGATGGTGTGCGTGACGATATCTCTTTCAGAGACTTTTGAGGATTAAAAGTAATAATCCAGAAGTGAGTAGAGCTGTGCTTAACACCTAATAACACTCATTAATGCAAACTGAAGGTTACTCTGGTTATCGTCCAGTCTCTTACAGAGCTAGGCATATAGGAAGCGGTCAGTATTTAACGAAGGAAAAAATGACTCCTTTATGACTGATTGGTATTCTTCTGAGTAGCAGTCAACATACTGTTCAACCAACTGAATTCCTAGTTCTGACAAAACTAATGGACTTCTCAGATATGTCCTTCTGTTTCTTATCATTTGGAACCAAGCAAATACCAAAGCATGTTTGCACTTGGATTTTTCCATTCTAAAGAGTTCATTTTTCTCTCTCTCCTGTTTCTGTGCAGTGGCCAGTTTGGCAAAGCCTGGCACCTTTGCTGGTAATGATGCAATCGTAGCCTTTGCAAGAAATCATCAATTGAATGTGGTGATTCATCAACTTAATGCCCCTTTGTGGCAGGTAGGTCACCTACTGAGGGACTTATCTTAAGCTCTTATTTACAAATTAGCATTGGGGGTGTCCGGAGATGGTGATATTGAACCGTACAGGGTCACTTGGACTGCAGGCCTACCCACAGACGGGAAGCTGCTGGTGGCTCGGAATTAAACCCTGTGTTATGTACATAGGGAGTCTGAAGTATAAGTCAGAGAGCTTTAGAAGGTTAACAGTATTATTTAGCAAGGTGATGGTGATGCAGGAGGGCACTTGTGATGACTACTGGGTATCTTACGGAAGTGTTGAGTCACTAAATTGTACACCTGAATCTAATATTACACTGTTTGTTAACTAACTTGACTTTACATAAAAACTTAAAAAAATATATATTATTTAGCAGTCAGATAACTGGGTAATTTGAGGGCAGAGAGCCTAATATGGAAATACTTTAGATAACACTGTAGAAAATAGTAAAGTGGAAATCTAGAGGATTAGTGCCTACAAATTCTGGTTGGCGGTATGCCTATCCCATGTGTATGTTTTGTTTTTTTACGTGGAGGGAGACAAAAACCAAATGCACTTAGTAAGCATTGCTAAAAAGTGTGTTCTGAACAGCAAAATGTATTTCATGGCCTAGGATGTCAACCTCTGTTCTGTGCTCTGCCCAGCCACACAGAATGGTTTTAGTGGTTTTTCTATGGCAAATAAGATTTTATGACACACGTTCAGGATGGTCCCCAAACCCCTGTCATGAAGTACCTGTCCATTCACCTGTTTTCACCTTTCTTTACCTTTGGTATCCTAAATTAACCTCATCTCCCCTAAACAGTCCATCAAACCAAACATTCTGGAGTATGGAAAGCCACAGGTCGGGGGGGAGTCTCTAGGCTGCCACCCCCTTACCCTTCGTCCTTGCATTCACAGTGCTGCTTTTCCCGTTGTGACTCAGCTCCTAAAGCTGTGCATAGGATTTCTATTAGTCCTCTCTGACTCCCATCACTTCCCCATTTCTGTTGTTTTTTTTTTTAATTAGCTAAGACATGTTTTTTTTTTTTTTTTTTTTTAAAGATTTTATTTATTTATTTGACAGAGAGAGATAGCGAGAGCAGGAACAGAAGCAGGGGGAGTGGGAGAGGGAGAAGCAGGCCTCCCGCTGAGCAGGGAGCCCGATGCGGGACTTGATCCCAGGACCCTGGGACCATGACCTGAGCCAAAGGCAGACGCTTAACGACTGAGCCACCCAGGCGCCCCTAGCTAAGACATGTTAATCATAGAAAAATTTGAAAGTTCAGAAAAGCCCATAAAAGCAAATAAAAATCACCCAGAGTCACATCACCCAGAGATTATTCCTGTTAACATGTGAGTGTGTATCCCTGGCATTCGCATGCACTGTTAGCTGAAGCTGGAAAGAGACGTATCACAGTGGTTTCATACCTGTTCGAAGCACATCTGCGCACATGTAGATGCATCCATGTGCATGTGTACACGCACTTGTATCTCTATTATTATTTTCATAAAGGCAACGATGACCTTTTTTCCTCATTTTTTAAATATACCACCTGCACATGTATATTCCTTTGTAAGTTGTTTATTTCTAGCCTTTGCTCATTAAAAATAAAGTTTATAGAGACAATTTACATAGAGCAAAATTCACCCTTCTCTAATGTATACTTCTGTGTGTTTTGACAAACACAGTCATGTCACTACCACCACTGTCAACATACAGAATATTTCCACGACTCCAAAAAGTCACCTCATGCCCCTCTGCAGTCACAGCTCCATCTCTGCATCCCTCGCTTCTTGTAACCACTAATATCATTTATCTCTTACAGTTTTCCCTTTTCAGAATGTCCTATAAATGGAAGTATATAGTCTTCTGCGTCTGTCATAATATCCTTTAACGAAATTCTCTTACAACAGAATAAATGAGCTACTCATGGGTTGGTGCAAGATGCAGGGACAGGAGGGTGACTGTATGTGTTGTGTTTTGGGGCAGTCTTGTCAGGTGGACGGACACCAGGGAATGCGCTCCTATTTTCTGAGACTCTCTCTTTGTAGGGTTGGTCTTAGGGCCAAGAATACTGATTACTGCTTCCGTTGTCCCAGTTTGTTGTCATTAAAGTTTTACTGTTTAGCAGAAGTCATCAAGATCATTTGAATATATAGCATTATGACCCTATTCTTGAAGAAAAATACTCCGTGCCAACTTAGTAACTACAGCCTGCCTTTCCCTCCACTGATAACTGTTTTTTACAGATTTTATTTATTTATTTGAGAGAGAGAGAGAGAGAGTGTATGAATGTGTGTGTGGAGGGGAGGAGCAGAGGGAGAGGGACAAGCAGACTCTGCACTGAGTGCAGAGGCTCGATCCCATGACCCCGAGATTATGACCTGAGCTGAAATCAAGAGTCGGACGCTTAACTGACTGTGTCACTCAAGCGCCCTGATAACTGTTTTTTAAAGTTTTTTGATTATCTAGGTAGTTGTGGAAGATAATTCTGCATAGTTAAGAATTTTTTTTGCAAATTTCTTTTTTTTTTTTTTTTAAGATTTTATTTATTTGAGAGAATGAGAGAGAGAGAGCATGAGAGGGGGAAGGGTCAGAGGGAGAAACAGACTCTGCTGAGCGGGGAGCCTGATATCGGACTCGATCCCGGGACTCCAGGATCATGACCTGAGCCGAAGGCAGTCACTTAACTGACTGAGCCACCCAGGCGCCCCTGCAAATACATTTCTGTAGTGTTCTTTTTTATGGATTGCTAAACACTGAAAGTATATGTTTTTAAAATAAATGTATTTGCTATATAATGAAACTATGCACTGGATCTCCTTCATCTTCCCACTCCCTTTTGAAATACCTTATAAAATTTAAGAATTGAAACTGCATTGGGGCGCCTGGGTGGCTCAGTCGGTTAAGCGTCTGCCTTCGGCTCAGGTCATGATCCCAGAGTCCAGGGATCGAGCCCCGCGTCGGGCTCCCTGCTTGGCGGGGAGCCTGCTTCTCCCTCTCTCTCTGCCTGCCACTCTGCCTACTTGTGTTCTCTCTGTCTGTCAAATAAATAAATAAAATCTTTAAAAAAAAAAAAAAGAAACTGCATTGGTTGCTACTGTCTGGGGTAAGAGCTCTTGCATGAATAATGAATGAGTAGACTTGTACTCACAGCATGGAGATCCTGAAACCTGCATTTTTTTTTCCTGGTTACAAATGGAGTATGTGCTTCTGTGAACAGTGTAGACATGCGTAGGGTAGAAAATGAAAGTCCTCTGTAATCTCTTTCCCCGTAAACATCACAGTTAACAATTTGGGTGACTACTCCAGTTATTTTTTCCTATTCATTATGTGTATAGAGTACTATTTAAATACGCACATGCTTTAGGGATAATGTCATTCAAAGATTCTAGTCAACTAGTTTCCTTTTCCACTACTCTTCCTGGGAGATAAATGGTATTTGCTCTATTATGTGTCAAAACCAGACTCTCTGTATTTTGAGACCTAAATATTCTACCTGGGGGAGATTTCCATGGTTCTGACCTCTAGATTTGTGTGGTTCCTGCTTGTTCCCTGGGTTTTGCTGTGTTTTAGACCAGTTTGAATTAATGGCAGTATCTTACTACCTATGACTTTCAGTAAAAACAAGAAGGAGGTGCTGATGTTTTGGAATTTTAACAAAGAAACAGTTGCTGGGCTTTTTAAGGGACAGATTCAGAATTACTTCGGAGTTTCTGTGGAGATGGTGGTTTCTTGGGGGCATACCCAGGCCAGCCCTTAGGGCTTCTGTATGGCACAACTCCAGGGAACACCATTCTTGTCGGGCTGTGCTCGTGGGTACCATTCGCATAGACTGCCTTGGGAGCAGTGCTTACAGCATTGGGCACCGTGGTAGTACTGCTTGACTATATCTCATTTTGTTTTGAAATTAGTATAAGTGGGAGATTTTTGAGTTCTTGTTAATGTTTCTTAGTATGCGGTTGATGGAAATGCTATTTTTAACGATGGGTGGATTTACTGTGAAGCTAACAAAGCATGAGTGTCTGGTCCCTCATTTTTATAGTCCCCTTTCAAGGTCTTAGAAGGGGTTCTAGCAATTTAATTTTGTAATTTTGTATTCTTTTTCTCAAAGAGGGCCCCAGGTTGTTTGAGCTTCAAGCTGAACAAATCTGTCTCTGCCCCTGGGCCTTCTACCCCGGAAAGGGCCTGTGCATGGAGGGGCTGAGGGGTGCAGATGCCTCTGAAATGTAAACTGCTTTAACTTCCTCGTAAATCTGCTCCAGCTTTTGACTATGTTTTTTCATGTGAATAGATTTCCATATAGTTACATGTTAAGCATATTGAAGCCTACATAACATGGGTGGGAGAAAGAGAATTCAGAAGTTGCCTAAGCATTTTTTTTTTTTTTTTTAAGAGAAAGTCTTTCCTTTATTTTTTTTCCCACAAATTAAATCAGAGGCTAAAAACACAGGGCCCAGAGTCCAGGTGTGTAGCACCAAATCTCTCATTGCAGCAGATACTTGTTGGATACCTATTCTTCCGGCCCAGCCCTCTGGCACATCCAGGCCCATCCCAAATTCGTGTCTGCATAGAGCCTGCTGACTGGGCTTCCTGGACAACCCAGGGGGTGTTTCCTTCCCGCACTTGACACCATCCAGATCCTCGCTGGCATCTGTCTCCCCTTCTTTTGCCTGCAGATTCGTGGCACGGAGAAGAGCAGTGTGAGGGAGTTACACATTGCATATCGGTGTGGAGAGCACTATGACAGCGTTCGGAGGCTCAATGACAACTCGGAAGCCCCCGCACACCTCCAGACGGATGTGAGTGAGGCCCCTGTTTCTTCTGTGTTCTCAGCCCTGGAGGGACTGGGTCAAGAGCTGTATGCCCTGGAGCTAAAAACCAGTGATTTTTTTTAAAAAAAGATTTATGTATTTGAGAGAGAGAGAGAGTGAGAGCATGAGTGTTGGGGAGGGGCAGAAGGAGAGCGAGAGAGAATCTAAAGCAGACTCTGCGCTGAGTGCGGAGCCTGACCTGGGGCTTGATCCTGCGACCCTGAGATCACAACCTGAGCTGAAACCAAGAGTTGGACACTCAACCGACTGAGCCATGCAGGCACTCCCAAAACCAGTGATGTTTTTATGGAAAGTTGTCTTTAAGGATCTATGGGCTTGCGGCGCCTGGGTGGCTCAGTCGTTAAGCGTCTGCCTCGGCTCAGGTCATGATCCCAGGGTCCTGGGATCGAGCCCCGCATCGGGCTCCCTGCTCCGCGGGAAGCCTGCTTCTCCCTCTCCCACTCCCCCTGCTTGTGTTCCCTCTCTCGCTGTGTCTCTCTCTGTCAAATAAATAAAATATTAAAAAAAAAAAAAGAATCTGTGGGCTTGATTTTTAATTTTTTTTTTAGCCTCAGTGAGAGCAATAGATAAAATCGCTTGTCATTCTTTTGCTCTTCCTAATCGCTGATGACTGTGATTACATGAATAGAATTTATATAAAATTCTGAAATTACTTCTGTGTTTTAAAATTAATCCGTGCTTCATATCTGAAGTTTGGAAAGTATAGAAAAAGGGAAGAAAATAACAAGTATACAAAGTCAACCACACGGATGCAGTTTTTGTTATTGTTTTGGTGCTTATCTAGCGGTGTTGCCCACTTTGTTCAGTTAACATTATTTAATGAGCCTGTTCTCACTTTATTACAAGCTTTCTTTGTAATTTTATTTTATTTATTTATTTATTTTATTTGAGAGAGAGAATGAGATAGAGAGCATGAGAGGAGGGAGGTTCAGAGAGAAAAGCAGACTCCCTGCCAAGCAGGGAGCCCGATGCGGGACTCGATCCTGGGACTCCAGGATCATGACCTGAGCCGAAGGCAGTCGCTTAACCAACTGAGCCACCCAGGCACCCTGTAATTTTAAAAAATAAAGTGAAATTGCTCTTCCAAACTGTTCCCCTGCCTGAATGCAACCAGTATTATCGGCATGTCATAAAATCTCCTCGAGGTACTTCCCACATCAAGCAAGTGTGTGTGTCTGTGTGTGTATTCCGCTTTTGCTGTCTTTACCTGCTCTCTGCCCCTGGTGCAGCATCCTGCATGCCCTGTTTTGTACTGTGCGTTGTCCTGTGCGTGTACTGTACGTTGGTCCTAGCTTGGAGTCTCGCTCACAGCGGTCCCTAAGGCCACGTAGTGTTCTGTCTGGTGGATGCGCTGTAGTGTGTTTGACCAGTCTCTCTGCTGGCCTTTGAGGCAGTTTTCATGCTTTTGCTCTTAGAAACAACATCTGGTGCCTTATATGTACATCTCACACTCGTGTGAGTGCATCTGTGGGATAGATTCCTAGAAAGTCCTTCCTGCATCAAAGGACATGTGTGTTTATGATCGTGACAGGTCTTGCCAAACTGCCGTCTCTGAGGCTTCACCGGTTCGCACTCCCACTCTAGGCACGTCTCTTCCTGCATGGTTGCTGGCTCGGCGTGGCGCCGCATTCCCCAGCCTTTGTCAGTGCCTTGGGAAAAACGGTTTTCATTTGTGGTTCTCTTAGTAGTGAGTCTATGCATCTTTTCCTGGGTTTACCACCTATTTGTATTTCCTTTTTTTGTGAGCTGTATTCATTTTCTTTGCCCATTTTCTCTCTCTCTCTCTTTTTTTTTTTTTTAGCGATTTTTCAGGAGCCTTTACATATTAGGGAAATTAGCCCCTGTCGGTGGTGGGATCTGCCAGTTTTTTTTCGCAGTCTGTCCATTTGTCTTTTTATTCTTTCCCCAACAGTCTTTGTTGTGGTGGAGTTTTAGATTTTTGTGAGGTTGAATTTATCAAGTTTTTTTACATGTCTTCTGGGTTTTGGGTTATAATTAGGAAGATCTTTCATAGTCTGAGGTTAAAAAGAAGTCTCCCATACTTTATTTTAGCACTTTTGTGGTTTCATTTTTTCTTTTCTTTTTTTCTTTTTTTTTAAATTTTATTTATTTGAGAGAGAGCACATGAGAGGGGGGAGGGTCAGAGGGAGAAGCAGACCCCCTGCCGAGCAAGGAGCCCGATATGGGACTCGATCCCGGGACTCCAGGATCATGACCTGAGCCGAAGGCAGTCGCTTAACCAACTGAGCCACCCAGGCGCCCGGTTTCATTTTTTCAAAGAAAATTAAATCTTGTCTCTCTTTGGAATTTATATTCCTATAAGTGTGTGAGAGTATGGATCCAACTTTATATTTTTCCTTGTGGTTACCTAGTTGTACCCAAACCATTTATTTATTATGTATCTCTTCACTGATTTAAAATGCCACTTTTTTGGCATGTAAAATTCCCATATGTATTTGGGTCTATTTCTAGATGTTGATTCTATTTCATTGGTTTCTCTGTTCATGTGTTCATGTGTTCGTTGTTTTGATTAAATTTTAAAATCTGGTAGAATTTTCACATTACTTTTCTTTCTTTATAATTTCCTTCATATTCTTGATTTTTTTGTTTTATGTATGAATATTAGAATAAGGTTGTCAAGTTAAAAAGAAGTCCTCTTGATTTTGTTTTTATTGGGATCTCATTAAATGAATAGATTAACTTCAGGAAAAAGTGACATCTTTATGGCATTGAGTCTTTCTGGCCAAGAATCTGATAAGCTTTTTTTTTTCTGTTTAATTGACTTTTTTGGTGATCCTCAGGAGCATTTCCTGCATGTAGATCTTGCCCATTTTTTGCAGAGTTTGTTCTTAGGTGTTTTGTGTTTTTGTTTCTATTGTAAGGAAAGGATGTTTCTTTTCTTTATATTTCCTAGCTGGTTATCATTTGTATATATGAGAGTTGTTAACAAAATGTTAAATATGTGCACACCTAGCTATCCTACAGAATTCTGTCTTTTTTTAAAATTCAGGTAAAATTCATATAACATAAAATTAACCATTTTAAAGTTTTTTTTTTTTTTAAAGATTTTATTTACTTATTCATGAGAGAGAGAGAGGCAGAGGGAGAAGCAGACTTCCCGCAGAGCGGGGAGCCCGATGCGGGACTCAATCCCAGGACTCCGGGATCATGACCTGAGCCGAAGGCAGACGCTTAACCATCTGAGCCACCCAGGCGCCCTTAAAGTTTTTTTGTGTGTGTTTTAAGTAGGCTAAGTAGGCTCCATGCCCAGCATAGAGCCAATGCAGGGCTTGAACTCAGGACCCTGAGATCAAGACCTGAGCTGAGATCAAGAGTCGGACCCTTAACAGGCTGAGCCACCCAGGCGCCCCCAAATTAACCATTTTGAAGTGTACAATTTAGTACCACTGATACACGCACAAGGCTGTGCAGCTCCTTCCTCCTTCTAGTTCCAAAACATTTTCCTCACCCCGAAAGGAAACCACATGCCCATGAAGCAGTCATGCCCCATTCCTTTTCTCCCTCAGCCACCACCAGTCTGCTTTGTGTCTGTATGGATTTACCGGTTCTGGACTTTTTATGTAAGTGGGATCATACAGTATGTGGGCTTCTGTGACTGGCTTTTGTCACTTAGCATCATGTTTTCAGGGTTCGTCCATGTTGTAGCAGGCGTCCTTACTTCATTCCTAAGACTAATATTCCATCGTGTGGATGGAGCCCATTCACTATCCCTTCATCTGTCGATAGGCTTGTGGGTTATTTCCACTTTAGGGTCTTGTGAATAGTGCTGCTGTAAATATTTGTGTATAATATTTGAGTCCCTGTCTTCAGTCTTTTGGATACATACCCAGAAGTAGAATTGCTTGGTCATACGTTTAACTTCTTGAGGAACTGCTGCCACACTCTTTCCATAGCAGCTGCGCCCTCTGACCTTGCTATCAGCAGTGTATTCAGGGTTCACTTTCTCCACACTCTTACCAACACTTGTTATATTTCCTTCTTTCTCTTTTAAATTATGGCCATCTTACTAGGTATGAAATGCTATCTCAAGGTTTTGATTTTCATTTCTGTAGTGATTAATGATGTTGAGCATCTTTTCATGTGTTTGTTGGCCATTTGTATGTCTTTGGAGAAATGTCTGCTCAAGTCCTTTGGCTGTGTTTTAACTGTGGTATTTATGCTTTTCTTGTTGAATTATTAGAGTTCTTTATATATTTTGGGTACTAGATTCTTGTAAGTATATGATTTGCCAGAATTCTTTTTGTCTGTGGTAGTGTTTTGGTTCTCTTGAGTTTTTTTTTTTTTTTTTAGGTATAGAATTATATCATCTGCAAATAGTGGTAATCTTTCTTCTTCCTTTTCAATTTCATACTTCTGTTTTTTTTTGGGGGGGGCGCTAATTGCATTGGCCATTACCTCCAAAACATTGTTAAATAATAATGGTAGTGAACATGTTTATTGAGCTCCTTTAATGGAAATGAAGCATCATTGTATGGATTTACCATGGTTATTCAACCATACATACACTGTGAAACCTTCAGCTTTCCAGTTCCTCACCACTATTAGTAGTGCTGTGGTGAACACTTTTACATAAATCCTTTCTATAGTTGACATTATTTGGCATTTATTTCCTTTGGATACATTTTAAAGACTTGATACACGTTGCCAAGTTGTTAGGGTATAATTTTATAATAGATCCCTTTGTATTGTAAGGAATGGACTGCACACTGCTGGATTCCACTTATGCTTTTACATGCAAACAAGTAGGAATTTGTCCTTGCCTATTTCCCATCTCCCTGTGTTAGTAGGAAGTGAAGAGAGAAGGTGATTGAGCAGCCATAAAGGGATGATTTTAGCTATTCTGATACAAGTTTAGGTCTGAAAGTCCTCATGGATACCAAGTGAACTGCTCTTTGTGTTTTTAGGATTTGGATTGCCAGATTTCCTCGCATGTGGTGGTATGCACATGGTTAGGTGAGGTCAGATGAGGTTAGATGAGTCACGCTCATCTGTGACTGTCCAGCTGGGACAGGAACTTCAGCACACCAAAGCTTGCTGATGATCAGATAGGGCCTAGGGACCCAGATGAGGGATATATATATGAATGTTTCTTCAAGACAACTTGTCCTGCTGCAGAAGCTCATCAGGGAAGCTTCTGTGACTAAGCTCCCAGCTCCAGAAATCAACTGAGACAAATATGTGCTAGTCAAGACAGAAGCATTCATTGCCAGAATGTTGGTATCTAGAAACTACGTAGGAGCTCTAATGCCATTCTTACTGAACAGTTTATCCTATATCTTGGGCCTTTCTTTTTAGGACTTCTGTTGTGGTTCTGGAATCTCCGTGTCTTGGATGAAATTTAGCCTAGTCAGTGCTATTCCCTTAAGATTCCTCCTGGAATCTTTCCCCCATATATATATGAATGATTTTGAGATTAGGATGTCTTCCTATGTTGAAGATTCTGAACCTAATTTGTGTGTTCCATGATTATTACTCTTTATATTTCCTTTAGTTTCAGATGCTTCATCAAGATGAATCAAATAAAAGGGAAAAGATCAAGACAAAGAGCGTTGACTTTGAGGATGACCTGAGAGATGAAGTAGAAGATGCTGTCCAGAAAGTTTGCAATGCAACTGGATGTTCAGTGAGTATTTCTGTACTGTGGTAATAACGGTGCATGAGCAAGCATTGCTGGGCCGAGTTTACTTGCCAGTTTCGTAGGCCCAGTCTAGGATGCCCACACCTGATGGGCCAAACAAAGTTTGTGATGTTTGTGGTTCATTAGATCGAGTGAGAAGACCTAATGAGAGTTATTTATTCATTTTTCTCTTGTTTGCTAGACTTTACCCAGTACTGCTCAAAATCCTAAGGAAGTGTGTGGGTTTTTTGTTTTTGTTTTTCTGACTAACATTTACACTAGTAAAAGTGCAGTTGTATAAAGGAATTCATTTATATTAAATGGTTATTTCAGGTAACCAGCCTTATTGAAAATTAAGACATTTTCTAAATGGAAAAGGTCTTGAACCCATGCCCTAATTCTCACCATTACCTCTTCTTGTGTATCAGGTTGTTGACGTAGAGGTAGGTAGAAGAGTATACCCAGTCTTGAAGTGTTCCTTTGTTTCTTGGATAGGATTTTAATTTGATAGTCCAGAACCTGGAAGCTGAAAATTATAATATTGAATCTGCAATAATTGCCATGCTTCAGATGAACCAGGGGAAAAGAAATAGTAAGTCCATGATTGATATTTATACGCTTTCAAAATGGTTGTATTGGTGATTTTCCAAATGTCTATTTTTCATCAAGGCACAGGTAGTGATTATACTGTCATTTATCACTTTCTGCATGCGGGCATGTTTTGCCAAGGCCCTAGCCCTGCCTTGGGGAGAAAGATAATCTGGAGTCAAGGGGGGCAGAGGGGAGACAGATGAGGAAACTGGTATAATTCTATGTGCTAGTGTTGGGGAGTACAAGGCACCGGGGGGACACATGGAAAGGCCAACCTAAGCTGGTCTTGGAGGGATGGAGAGTGTCAGGGAAGACTTTATTCTTTTCGAAAGAAGAATCCCTTATAAAACCAAAATGATAGCTGAAATAGAATAGAGAGAGAAATAACTGAGTTTTCTAATGGATACACGTAGATGGCTAGCATCCATCAACTGGTGATAAATTAGAATTTTTTTTTACTTGAACTGGGTTTAATTCTGTGACTCAGAAGATGGAAAACAAGATATAGAGTCTTACTGTTTTCACAAGTTACTTTTATTTAAAATGATTTCAATACGTATTGACAGATATGTGCCAGATACTGTTTCCAGCATTACAGTTTCCATGTGTTTGGGTGTTCTCTTCTCTTCTTTATACATTTGCTCTGCTTTCTCAGAAAGCTGTGAGTAACTTGGTCTTTGTGACGTTGAAACAGCGCCATCCAGTGTCCGTGCCATCCAGTATAGTGTGTACTTGACATGCGTGGCTAAGTGGGAGTAAGGAACTGAAGTTTAACTTCTGTTTAACTTTCGTTTTTTTTTTTTTTTTTAAAGATTTTATTTATTTATTTGAGAGAGAGAGAATGAGAGACAGAGAGAATGAGAGACAGAGAGCATGAGAGGGGGGAGGGTCAGAGGGAGAAGCAGGCTCCCTGCTGAGCAGGGAGCCCGATGCGGGACTCGATCCCGGGACTGCAGGATCATGACCTGAGCCGAAGGCAGTCGCCTAACCGACTGAGCCACCCAGGCGCCCCTAACTTTAGTTATTTTTAATTTAAATGGCTGCATGTGGCCGGTGGCTGCTGTATTGGACAGTTCAGGTTTGGGGCCTGTTTCCTTTCTGGGTTTTGGGTGCAAATGAAAGATTTCCTCCTAAAAATACGTGTTGGAAGTGGTTTAATAAAACACTCTGCAGGTGGGAAGCCGATGATTAAACTGATCAGCGGGTTATTTTTAAATTTATTTTCCAGGTATTACCAGTTATTTCCCTCCTTGTGTGCCCCACTGTATTGACTTGATATTAGGATTTTGCTTCAAGGAAACTTGCTCTCCGTATGACAGGTGATTTGGAGTTGTGCATTGTTAGGTTGTGAAACTCCCTTAGGTTCTCAATTTTAAGAAAATCCTTTCTTTGGAAGATGCAGAGGAGAACCTTGAGTCCAGTGGCCGAAGTCTGAAGCAGTGTGGCCCTTTATGGGAGGAGGGCGGCAGTGGCACCAGACTCTCTGGAAACCCGGGCTTAGATGAAGGCAGACCTGAGAACAATAAAGAGCGGGCAAGCCCTGGTGAAGAAAACAAAGCAAATAAAGACCAGCTCCCAAAGGTACGACAGATGGGCTCGCAAGGGCACGTGGTGGGCGGCGGTGCTTCAGTGGCAGGGGCGGGAACTTGGAGCTCACTCTAGTGCGGCATTGTTTTCTGATGTCTTTAAAGTAGTTGTTGTAGAAAATACAGGGAGTGCGTAAGGGGATGGCAAGAAGTAGAATGAGAACCTTGCTTGTCCAGTTTTCTGTGTGTCAGTGTACACACAGCCTCCCTTTCCTGCCCAGTGTTACTGTGTGTCCAGGTGTTTCCATGTTATTTATTTATTTTTTTAGTATTTATTTATTTATTTGACGGAGAGAGACACAGCGAGAGAGGGGACACAAGCAGGGGGTGTGGGAGAGGGAGAAGCAGGCTTCCCGCTGAGCAGGGAGCCCGATGTGGGGCTCGATCCCAGGACCCTGGGATCATGACCTGAGCCGAAGGCAGGCGCTTAACGACTGAGCCACCCAGGCGCCCCTAAATGATATATTTTTTAAAAGATTTTATTTATTTTTTGACAGAGAGAGGCACAGTGAGAGAGGGAACACAGGCAGGGGGAGTGGGAGAGGGAGAAGCAGGCTTTCCACTGAGCAGGGAGCCCGATGCGGGGCTCGATCCCAGCACCCTGGGATCATGACCTGAGCTGAGGGCAGATGCTTAACTAACAACTGAGCCACCCAGGTGCCCCATAAATGATATCTTTTGATATCAAAATGATATCTTTTATCAGTGAAGTTGGAAGGTCTCTTTTCTTTTCTTTTTTTTTTTTAAAGGTTTTATTTATTTGACAGAGAAAGACAGCCAGAGAGGGAACACAAGCAGGGGGAGTGGGAGAGGGAGAAGCAGGCTTCCCGCTGAGCAGGGAGCCCGATGCGGAGCTCGATCCCAGGACCCTGGGATCATGACCTGAGCCGAAGGCAGACGCCTAACGACTGAGCCACCCAGGCGCCCCTGGGTGTTTCCATGTTAATCCGTGTTATAAAATCTCCATAAATGCCATCATCTTCATTGAAAAACTTTGTGTATAAATCTTAGTATTTTGCATTATTATTATTATTATTATTATTATTTTATTTATTTTTTTTGTGGCTAGAGTCACAGTAAAGGGTATGGATATTTGAATCTTTTTAAGGCTTTTTGGTAAATTGTCAAATGCTTCCCGGTGGGGTTGTCCGTCTCCCTCCCTGTCCCTGACTCCTGCAAGTAGTATATGACACATTCTTTTTACTGAATTTGGAATTCATTTTAAAGACTTTCACCAAGCAGTTCTGAGCCCCAAATACAGCATAATGTAAAAAGCCACAGGCCAAGGTAAAGATGCAGTAAGCTTCTGAGGATTTTGTTAGGATTACCTGGGGCATTAAATTACGTAGAGACAGGTGTCCTATGGCATGTTTGAGCGTTACCTCTTGCAGGACTGGGGTTAATGTTTCTTAGGTCATTGTGCATTGAATTATGAGGAGAATGGAATTGATTTCGTTTGCTAGCTCAGCAGAGGGGATAGAAATTTAAATGTAAATTTGAGCCATGATGGGAAAGACATCACTTCTGGTCTGTTAGGTGGGTTTTCTCTGTTCTTGCTGAGAAGCAGTCCGTGCCCCCAGATCCGTCAGCCCCAAGTCCCTCCTCGGCAGGAGGCCCCTGAGTCTGCCTCGCGGGCAGCTCACCCAGCGGCCTTCTCTTTCAGGTCACCAACAAACAGAGGCGGGAGCAGCAGCGACTGGAGAAGAAGAAGCGACAGGAGGAGAGGCACCGTCACAAAGCCCTGGAGAGCAGGAGTGGCCACAGGGACAGCAACCGAGGTGAGGCAGATGCGAACGCGCAGGTCACCTTGGTGAAGACCTTTGCCGCTCTCAACATCTGACTCTCTGGCCTTCTGGGAGCTGCGAGAAGCGAATGGAAAATGGAGCGCTGTGTAGCAGGCTCTCCAGTGAGGCTGTCCTCTCACAAAATGACACGCAACCCACAAAACTCACACACAAGCTCACACACTGAGTTCGTCTCCTTCAAGCTGCCTCTGTTTTGCTCAAACTTTTGTTAGCGATGTGTTTTATTTTATGAAAGTTCAGTGAAGCCATTCATGTTCTGTAATTAAAATATCGAGTTCTAGGGTTGGATAGTTAGTTGAGGCAAAACCTTTTAAGTGTGGTTTTATTTGCCTTGAAAAATCAGAGTTCAGTGACCCTGGGATTTTTCCTGAACATTTGGGGTGAGTTTTACCATAATTGTTCATGAAGTAGTTTAGATTAGTTGCTAGAAATTCAGAATGACAAGTTTCCTTTGTTTCTCTTTCATTTTCAAGCAGATATTCACATACAGGATAGTTTATAAACGGTCTTCAACTCAGGAACATGTTTAGATTTAATTTTCTACTAATCCAAGTTAATCAGAAATTAATTCAGGAAGTATTTTTCCCAAAGTAATATCATATGAGGGTTGCAGCCTGTTGTCAGGGTGGAAATTCAACAGCTACGTTTTTCTCCTTCCTGATTCTGATGCTATTTCAGACGGGATGCAGGTGCTGAGAGTTTGCTTGCGCTCAAGCCATATGATAAATACGCCTGACTGTTAATTAGGCCTGGACTTTGCTGGAAAAGTGGTAGTGTTGTTGAGGTTTTTGTACTTGTTTCTTAACACGGAGAAGGTGGCATGTTACTGCTTATGATGTAATTCTGGGCTTCTGATCGTATGGAGAGCAGAACCCATGGTTACAAAGGGAGAAATGAAGAGATTCCGGAGTCTTTGTCTAGGGAGAGTCTAAAGAGTTACTTGATTTTGTAGGGGCCTGGAAGGGTCTGGAAGAATAAGGCTTTTCAGGTTCACATTTTAAGTAATTAACTGTATTTTCTTCCTTGCTGTTCTAGACTAAGATGCCTTCAGAGAAGTAGTTTGACCTGTTGCTCAGTTTTCTTAGTGTCGTGAAAATGGAATCCCATAAAATGCTGCATTTCTTTCTTTCTGTTCCAGCCCTGTCTGGGATCTTGATGTTGGAAAAATTCTTCCACACTCTAGCACTTGTCAGTGACTTAGGTTAGACCAATAGGGCAGAGGCCATGGGATGACTCCACAGTTCTGACATGGATTTGGGAAGTGGAGAGAGGTCATTCCTAAGACTGGTAGGTGGGTGTGAACTTTCAACCTGGAACCATGTATGAAGTGGACAGTCGTGGACAGCCTTGGCCTTCTGGGGACCCAGTATTTGGACAAATAAATTCTGCTGATTGAAAAGGTAAATTCGTTACTTCTCCACCTCAGATTTCAAAATTATAACTGTTCCAAGGAGAAGGGAAAACCATAAAAACGTTTTGACTGAACGGATGTACCATTGTCTGGGCTGGCCCTGGATTCATTGAATTGCTTTTATCAGCAGACGATCTGCTTTCTTCAGTTTTAATGATGTGTTTTAATTTTTTGTTTGTTGACTTCAGTGACTTTTTATAGTTGAAGCATCTGTAGTTTCTTGGAACTGCTCTCAGGCTGTTGTAGTTTGGGCTTCTTCCTGGTACGGTGCTTTGTAATAGTAGCAGATTTGGGAAGTGCGGAGCATGTTTTCTTTGCACATTGTGGAGTCCTGAGTCGGAGGCTCTAGTACTTGGTCCCTACAGGTGCAGGGTCTCTGTTGCCTTACTGTTTCCAAGGGAGTGAGATCCAGTGCTTAAGGATCAATCATTCTCTTGGCTTTTGACTCTGGACACTTTCCTGACTGTGGCTGATCTTTTCTGAGTGAACACTCTTTCTTGTCTGTGTGGTAGGGCGAGAGAGCCAGAGACCAGATCCTCTCAAGAAGGTCAAGATTGTGTATCAGAAACTCAGCAGAATTAGGAATCTGAAATAGCATAAGGGATACCCCTTGTCAGGAGCAATAGAATTGCTTTATTTACCTGGTTAATGAAGGTGGCCTTGGGCCCTGTTGGGTTTTAGAAGTTTAACTAGAAGCTGCTAAAAAGTTATTAAAGAATATTGGGCAAACTTGTTAACAAATTACCAAATTCTGATAATAGACTTCAGCATTTCTGGGGCAAAATAACAGTGGTTTTTTTTTTTTTTTTTTAAAGATTTTATTTATTTATTTGAGAGAGAGAGACTGAGAGAGAGAGCACATGAGAGGGGGGAGGGTCGGGAGGGTCAGAGGGAGAGGCAGACTCCCCACTAAGCAGGGAGCCCGATGCGGGACTCGATCCCGGGACTCCAGGATCATGACCTGAGCCGAAGGCAGTCGCTTAACCAACTGAGCCACCCAGGCGCCCCAAAATAACAGTGGTTTTAAAAACTAATCCGGCTTCGGTAATTTTCTCTTACTACCATTTCATAGTTTTCCAGTTAAAATTAGTCTGCGTTTAATACATTAATTATTAGGAGTGGGGTACACATACCCAACTTTAGTGATCTCTTCTCGCTAAGCGTGTGAATTTAGACTTCACTGCCTCAGTCTCACTGAAGTATGAAGTAGATGGGATCCATATACTTAGTTGCCTTGTGGGCATTTGAAAATTGCTTTATTGGCAACCAGCATGGAGGTCCAGTGAGTTTGGCTCTGGGAGGACTGTTGTCAGTAACTCTTGTCCCCAGTACAGTGACTCACGTGCCCTCCATGTTGGGAGGTGTGTCTTGCTTAGCCGCTGTGCTGTGTCTTGGCCGTTAGAGGTTTATGTTACATGGGATTGTCTCGGTAGCTTTTAGTGAGGTCAGGAGAAAGGGGATGGGGCAGTGGTCTGTAGCTGCTTATTAGTCTTATGAACTGTATATAAAGGTTTTATGGATTTTAAAACAAGATTTTTTAAAGGTCAAAATAAATAAAATTTTAGTGGCAACAGCTTTGTACTAGAGAGGTAGCTGTATTGAACAACCTAGAACCACACCTTCTAAATAACATGGTTGCCATCAGGAAATATTAGGGAGATAGAATGCATATGTATATTTAATTTTTCAGTAGTGTCTACATATGCTTTCTGGAGCAGAGCCTGGTTGAGGGATGGTGACAGAAAGAAAGATCTTGAGTATCAGCTGAGGTTGTTGTCTGTAGTTTCTTTTATAAGCTCTGAAAACACTTCCAAACCCATTTTGATCCCGAGGGCTTGTGAAGTGGGGTCTCCCTTGTGGGGTGGCTCGAGTGGGTGTCACAGGAACCTTCGAGGAGGTCATTGGTAGCGCCCTGCCTCGGCTCCCTGGGGTTTACAATGTGAAATGATGCGGCCCTGGGGGAGGAGGGCCGTGTGATGTCAGGGAGAGCTGCTCACTTGTTAGGTAGGTAGGCATCCGATGGACTTCGGCACTGAACTGTCCTCGTGGTGAGTCCCTGTCGTCAATGTGCAATTTCTCTCATTCTGAGAAACTTTAGACTCTGCCTGGGTTTTACTGGGTCAACATAGAATGCTGTCAGTTTACCTCTGTGAAATGGTCAGCTCGAATTTGCAGTCGGTTACTGGAAACTGGGATTTCTAGTCCACGCTGACAGACAGTCTCCCTGAGTAAAGGGATGAAAATGGAGCGCTTGGTCTCCGTGGGTCACATCTGGGGCCCTCTCTGACTCCCATTTCAGGCAGACATGTGGCTCTTCACCTTTTTACCTTTTTACCTTTTTACCTCAAGGCTCCGTCTGTCTGTAGCAAACGTCTAGATTCAGAGTCTGCTGCTGTTTTCCCGTTTGGTCATTTTCACTCTTCACCATTCGTTCACCTCCGCTTTCAGAACAGGCGTTGCTAAAACTCTGGGGCCTTCCGACAGTTGTTCTGAGGTGATTTAATAATGGCACTTTTTTTACAAGGTGTGTTTTCCTGACTCTAAAGCAGATTGTGTTTTTCTGCTGACGTTGAAGCGAAGACCTTCTAGATGGCATGTTTAGGGAAATTTTCTGCCGTCACATATTAGAGGGGGAGTGGGTAACTGGTGTGAAGTGGAGATGGTGACCCCCCCCCCCAGCCCCAAAGTGCTTGCATGGCATGGGGCCCGCCTGCGCCCTGGGGCCCCCCGGGGAGGAGCTGGGCCTGCGGGCGGACTGGCCCTGCGCGGGCCCCAGGTGATGCTCCCGGTGACCTCGGGCTCTTAGCCATGTCTTCTAAGCTTACTAGTCTCTCTCTCCTAGTTAGAGGTGCTTTGTAGCTTGGTTAAAATGGTTAACATCCTTGCGAAGTTACTGGAGAAGGGGCTGCGGTCATGAAGAATGTTTCTGGAGAGCACGACTTTCTGCGCGGTGGCTCTATTTTCAGCAGGGCAGCCCTGAGCTCCAGAACGGCTGCCACTCCCTGGGCCGGTCGTCAGGCGGGTGATGATCCCTGGACCAAGCGTCTGAGGGCTGCCCCCACCCCTGCGCATGTCAGCAGCCAACAGGTCACCGTGGCCAGCCGTTGGGGACAATCACTGGAGCTCAGTCAGAAAACTCACTGTGGTTTGGGCTCCTAGCAGGTCCCTGGACCAAAACTTGAAGAACTGGTGTGGGGGTGCCAACGTCTTCCCACCCTCGTTGTTCATTTTCCACGGCGGGAAGGGCCGTTGGCCTCCCCGGCCACCCTTCCGGCAAGCTCCAGAGACACTGAGCTCAGTGAGAAGGAAGGAAGGAGCCGGGAGTTAGACTTGAGCCCTGCATGTTCTTGCTGACACAGATGTGCGGGTGGGCGTGAACCCCTTGGGGAGGAGGGCAGGTGTGTCTGTGGGGAGCACGGGCCTTCGTAGGCTCAGGAACCTTCTCTTTTTTCTAATTGCACTATACTTGTTCTCGCTTCAGTCTGGAGATATTTAAGACCTCCATGGGGTCACGATCCATAGACTTAGCAAGTCTTGCCTTATCTCTGGAGCTTGACAGGGAGAAATGTGGCCATTGTCTGATGTCCATAGTTCATTTCTTCTCAGTGGTTTCTTTTCACAGATTGTGTTCATCTGAACCATTTTATTTTTTATTTACCAAAGTACTGTACTTGGCTACTTGCAGTGTTTTCAAAACCAAATGTTTCTTTTTTTTTTGTTTTTAATCTTCCATACTTGGTGCAATAGAAGCTGCAAAGATGTGCCACTTTATCTATGAAATGGAGTTTTGTATACCAATAAATTCTCGTTTAAAGACAAAGAATGCTTCACATTGTTTTTGCCAGTGCGACCACCATTCGAGTGCATGAGACCGAGAGAGCATGCCAGCAAGTGGCCTTTTTAGAGGTCTTTCCGTGGAAGGCAGGAGGCTGCGGTCATCTGTGGTCTCACTGGGCTTGAGGTTGCTGATGAGCTTTGGTACAGCTGGGCGCCACCACCACGCCCTTAAGGACGGGACGCTGAAGATTCTGCTGATACCTAGGAACATCTCTGAGAATTTGGAGTTGTCTAAATATGGAGCAGCTGTCTGTTGGCTGCCACCTGGGGGTTTCTCCAGAACCCTGAGGGTCAGTTTGACCCCATTCTAGGAGGAGGTACAGCCCTCCAGACATGCGTGGACAGCTGTGACCGGAGCGGAAACACCTGGAGAGGTCCTCAGAAGGGGACAGGGCAGGGAGAAGGGCAGCCGCAGGAAACCAGTAGGTAGGGAAGTCCTCAGTGCTCACAGGTCCCAGCCCACATGAGGGCTCTGGCCAGTCCTGAGGTCAAGGCCGGTGCGGTCTCACTGGGCCTTGCCACGTCCTTGGGATTTTGGCCTCGAGACTCCCACTCTCTCGTTCTAATTTTGTACTCACCAAGCAGCCTTTGAATTGGCTCCACAGTACCTTGCTCCCAGAAGGTATCCAGGACCACCCTGCATGAAAGAAAATGTGTCTATTGGCAAGGACGTTTCCCCTCGGTCACTATCCTCCTCATGTGGTTTTCCCCTCAGTCCATGACTGAGAGACTGCGTGCACGTTCCTGAGCCCGCGAGGCCTGGGGTCTGGACCCTGCCAAACCAACCGAGAATCTTTCTGAAAGATCCTACTAGAATCAAAATGATGTCCCAATTCAGGTACTCCCTCAGCTGGAAACCTTCCCTGGCCTCCATTCCATCCTCCCGTGATTCACTGGGACCAGGGCGCCACCTGCTAGCTCGGGCGGAGTCAAGGGGCTTCCTGCCAGGACCCAGGTCCTGTCTGTGAGGCGGGCTGAGCCTGTGAGGACGGAGAAGTGTTCTCGGGCCAAGTAGGGAACGATCAGAGTACACTAAGTTCGCTATTTACATTTTCCTCCAGGCTATACAGCACAGCAGACTCGGGATGAATGACAGTAGGGTGCCAAAAATTGAAATAGCACAGAGGGAGAGTGGCTGATCTGTGTCCCTTTTTGATAGCTTCATGGTTGCCTAGTAGAAAGCTGGGTTGGAAACCCAGGTTTAAAGTTTGCCCTTTAGCAGACACCCCACGAGCCCTTACCTGCCCCGCCCGGTGCATGGAAGGTGTATGTGTGCCTTGAGATACAATAAAAACTTGTCATAGGATGCTGTGCGCCAGCGTGGGGTTTGGCTGGGCTGTTGGACAACGTGGGCACTCAGATCCTAGGGATTCAGCAATTGAGAACTTGTTTGGTTGTAAAGGATCACGATTGAGAACTTGTTTGTTGGAAAGGGGCCGAGACCAATCCTGTCACTTCATAGGTTCTGGCTTGGCAGAAGGAAAACTTTCCCACCTTGGAGAAACTTGTCTGAACCTCCCTATGGCAGAGGGACTTAGGTACCTCAAGGTACTCCGTTTTTATTAAATTTACCCACCCATCCAAGTATCTTAAGAGTCCATCCCACATTTACTGAACCTGTGTGGTCCAGCGGTTCTTATTTCTGGGCATAGAATCAGACATGGACCCTGTCCTCCAAGTTTCCAGGAATGAAAGAGGACACACATACGATGTAAAAAGAGGTACTATGCTAGGGGGGCCGTGAACTCAGAGGGAAATCAAGGAAGGCTTGGTGGAGGAAGCAACATTTGGCCTGGGCTGAAAGGGAGGGGAGAGAGGGAGGCCCTAGAGGGGGGTGTCCCATGTGTTGAGGACAGAGTTTATTAAGGATATACAGTTTGGGGAAAGACTGGGTACTTCTTTTTTTTTAAAGATTTTATTTATTTGAGAGAGAGCGAGAGCGATAGAATGCGCAGGGGAAGGGAAGGAGCAGAGGCAGAGGGAGGAACAGACTCTGCTCTGATCAGGGAGCTCAGTGTGGGACTCGATCCCGAGATTCCGGGATCATGACCTGAGCCGAAGGCAGACACTTAACTGCGCCACCCAGGTGCCCAGACCGGGCACCTCTTCAAACACGTGTCCGGCTTTTGCTACCGGAAGACCAATGCCGTGCTTGCCGGCACGTGAATCCCCGAGATGAGGCGGACTTTGCCCATCCTGACTGCTGGGCAGTGTCAGGAGTTGACCACTGGGTGCATCTTGGCTTTGGAGCTCCGCACGGGTCGCAGCCCTCCAGGAACGGAGCTGCGCACGCTCTCTCCGGCCAGGTGTGCTACATTTCCTCCGTGGGACCTTCTCTCGGGGCACTGACGGTGAATGATTTTCAAACCTGTCCGCTTAAGATCAATGAGCACTCAGAGTAGTGAGCTCAGGGGCTCTTCGAATAAATGAGCGTAGGATTTATCCAATGCGTGATGCCACTTCCCTAAAATAATTCCGATTATCCTGTGTCCGTGGATTCAACTGACCAGATATTTATCTGGCGTGTACTGTGATGGGTGCCGTAGGGGAGGCAAAAATACATAGAGCGGCCTGGCCGAAATGGAGTTTCCAAAATGCTCCAGGCACTCTCAACGCGTTGTCTCACTTGAAACCTTTCAACCACCCTGTGAGGCTGGGGATTCTGTCCTCATTTCACATACAAGGGAATACATAACTGGTCCAGATCACAGATTGACAGCAGGATTTGAATCTATGGCAGTTCTGCCTCCACCGCATAGGAGCCCCAAACAAGGACCCCAATGACGGGGCATAAGTGGACCAGGAAAGGTATAAACACATTGTCTGGCAGTTCAGAGGAGGGTGAAATCTCCAGCTGGAAAAGCATCATGGAAAAGGTGGCATTTGAGATGCGCCTCCAGTGTGCGGATTTTCACATGTGAACAGGGAGGCTTCCAGGCTGAAGGCTGCTCTGGACAGAAGTGTGAATGCTGGAAGGCAGTGGGCGGGGGCAGGTTCTGGGACCGGTGGTGGTGGTGGTGGGGTATAAAGAAATATATATGGCTGGATCACCGAGACTGGAAAAGCAGATGACACCAAGCTTGAATGCCAGGGGTTGGTGGCCAATGGGAGCTACTGATAGTTCAGGGGCAGAGGAGGGAGCGACGTGATGGAAATCAAACTGGGGAAAGATGAAGCTGGCCTCAGTGGTCAGGATGGTGACCGGCTGGAAGAGGGAAGTCCTGATGGTGTAGTCTTGCTCTGGGAAAGCACTAGTATAGAATAATGTGTCCGTCTGCCGTTTGGCCACATCTGATGTGTCTCTATCTCCGGCATCATTCAGCTAGGGACCCCAGACAGAGGTCTGTGAAATCCTAATCGGAAACTCCAATGTGCTTTGATTTCTAATCACGTACTCAGCAAGTTACTTGATCAAACATTTCGTTAATAGCTTTTGTTGGGGGTTAAGGGGGAACAAAGCAAATCAATCCAAATCGTGCCATCAAAATTGGAGAGGCAATCTATGAGCATTCGGGTAACGGAGTCCCATCCCCAGCCTTGAGGTAGCCCCCAGGCCTCATGCATCCCTTCGTTCATTCAGTGAATTAATAAACAGAAAGCACTTAGAACAGTGCCTGCTAAATGCCAAGACTTGATAAAGTGTCACCTATCATTATGGCTGTCGTTCATTCACAGAACACGAACGCTTACTAGGTGCTAGGCATTGTTCTGTACTTTCACAAACGCTAACTGATTGACACCTTGCCACAACCAGCCTGCCCGGGAAGCGTCCTTGTTCCATTTGGCCCCATGTCAGGGCTTTCGGGATTTTAATGGGCACGCAAATCACCCAGGCGGTGGGAAGGGTGGTGGTGGGGTCTTGTTAACCTGCAGGTTCTGCCTCTGTGGGCCTGGGGTCAGCTCCGAGATCTGCATCTCTAACAAGCTCCCCGAGGATGCAGCTGCTCGTGTCCATGGGCTACACAGAGAGCAGCAGGTCTGGAACAGAGGCCACTGTTGCTGACTGGCTGAGCAGGGAGGTCTTGACCTGGAAACTGTGACCTCAAGTTCAGGGATTTTTCAGCCCTTTCTGCACGTCTGCTGCTGGCAATCAAGTGTGTGTATCCCAGACACATACACGAGATTCAGACCCGTTGATTCATTCACCGAACATTTATTGATCACTGGGAAAACAGGCTGCACCAGGTTTAGTTCGTAAGTTCCAGTTTCCACTCTGCCGGATGCCACACACCTGTCGGGTGAGCAGGTGCCCGTCCCGTTGCTGCCTTAAACGTCCATCGCTCCCAGAGCATAACCTCTCTCCAGCTCCCCAAGCCTGTTCCCTCTTCCTGTGCGGCTCACTTATGCGACGCATCTGTCACTCTGAGATGTTTGTAAGGGCTCCGTGGTTATTTCTCAGCATATTTATTATTGGCAATGCCAAGGGACTGATTTCACAAGCCCGGAAGCTACTTTGCCCCCCTGATGAAGGGAAATCCAGGTACAAGCTGAATTTAGGTTTCCTCCTCGCAGCCTAAACCAAGTGGACACCAGAGGGCGCCTCAGGACCACACTTCCCAACAAATGCGCTTGCTCGCTTCCCCAATCCCACTGTTGCCCTAAGACTCTTTACCAAGCATCAGCATCATTCACAGTGGCAGGCGGGGCTCACCCGCTCCCTACTTTGTTTTTGCTAACATAGAACTTCTTTACCTTTCAAAGTTTATGATGATCATCCCTTTGATTTCTTCTCGGCTCTCTCCTGCCCTCAAAGTCCTGAAAGCTGCACACACGCCATGAAAAGGACAAAGGGCGTGAACATTTATTGCGGGTCTGCTGTGAGCTTTGTCCCCTCCACGTAGTACCTTTCCCCATGCTTGTCTCATTGAATGGGCTCATTCCCATCGGGACAGATTTTATCCGCATACTGTAGACAGAGAGTGGAGATAATTCTGTCCATAGTTAGAAGTAGAATCTGCTAAAGTACATTACTTCCAGGA